GTCAGTGAACAGCGCCGGAAGCGGAGGCGGCGGAGCGGCCGCGCGGGGCCGGAGCGGCTGCAGTCAAGATGCCGGCGTTGTTGGAGCGGCCGAAGTTGTCGTCGGCCATGGCCCGCGCCCTGCACCGCCACGTCATGGTGGAGCGCGAACGCAAGCGCCAGGGTGAGCCCCGCCTCTTGGACCTTAGCTCCACCCCTTGTGCCTGGGCTTCTGCTTCTGCTTCTGCTCTACTTGGGCCACGCCCTTTCCCCTAGAAGCCACGCCCCTTTGCCCCATAGTTTCAGCCCCATTGTCCCCCATCTGGTCCCCGTCAGGCCACGCCCCTTGGATCTGGCCACGCCCCCAGTGGTTCCCCCTGTTTGCTACTATACTGGCCACATCTGGTTTATAGGCCATGCCCCTTGTCCTATGGGCACGCCCTCGTGCAACCCGTCATCTAGTGAGGCCATGACCCCTAATCCATAGGCCCTGCCCCCAATGACCTTGTTCACCCACTTAAGCTACATCCCCTGCCCAGAAAGCCACACCCCTTGACCCACAGGTCAACTCTCCTTGATCCTCCTCATCTGCTTTTACTCAGGCCACGCCCCTGGAGCCATAGGCACGCCCCTATAGCTTGTCTCCGTCTGCACAGGCCACGCCCTCTGGCCCATAGACCACGCCCCTTCCTTTCCATTGGCAGCCTCATCTCCCCGCACTGGCCCCCCCCCAGGGCTGGGGACCATCCTGCCATGGGGGAGAGGGGAGTGTTTCAGGGGTCCCCCCACCCCATTGGCTGGGGAGGGGGCGCGGCCTGTGCTGACCCCGCCCCCCACAGAGGAGGAGGAGGTGGACAAGATGATGGAGCAGAAGATGAAGGAGGAGCAGGAGCGACGGCGCAAGAAGGAGATGGAGGAACGCATGTCGCTGGAGGAGACACGTGAACAGGTGACACTGCTGCCACGGGGCCCGGGCCCCGATTGTACCCCCAGGTCCTCCCTCCCCCACCCCAGAGAACCCAGGCACCTGGGCCCCGATCGCACCCCCACCCCAAATCTAGGCGTCCAGGCCTTCAAATCTAACCCCCGCAAACCCCCCCCCACCCCGGTCTCTCTCCTGCCCAGAGAACCCAGGCGTCTGGGTTAGGGTTGGAGAACTCAGGCATCCGGACCCCCAGATCTCCATCCACCACCACCAAACCCAGGCATGTGGGCTCCTCCTTATCCCATTCCTGCAGCAGAAATAAGAACCCAGGTGTCTGGAGGGCGGTCCCTTTATTCTGGGCAGGGAGGGGGTTCCCGGCCTCCCTCTCAACACCCCCTGCTCTCCCCCAGATCCTGAAGCTGCAGGAGAAGCTGTCGGCACTGCAGGAAGAGAAGCACCAGCTCTTCTTGCAGCTCAAGAAAGTTTTGCACGAGGAGGAGAAGCGCCGGCGCAAGGAGCAAAGGTGATGGGGGTTCAGGGGGAGGGAAGGGTCTTGGGGTCAGGGGGTGTCACGGCATATTGTGACCTCTGTGTTCCTCCACACCGCAGCGACATGACAACGCTGACAGCGGCTGCCTACCAGCAGGGCATGGCCGTGCACGCTGGCGCCCACCT